TTCCCCAGCAGAGCATCTGGTGGATTCAAACCGTGCGCCTCTGGGATTGCAGTTGTAGCTCCTTGCCACTAGGCCACCAGAGCTCCCCATATTTTTTTTTAAGAAAAAGATAAGTTAAAGCAATGTCATCCTTTTTGTGTGTGTACAAAGTCCAGATTCATGCATCATTTTACTCAGAATGTTGAGGAAGGGACAGGTGGCATGGCCCTTTTTGGCCCATCACTCTCTCTGGGAGTCAGGAGAGTCACTTCTGCCGCCTGCCTGCCTGTGCCTAAGTTTCCCTCTCTGTAAAGTGTGGATGTAAACCTGCACACTCTTCCCTATGCTAAAATTCCACCCTGTGCCCTTTTACAACTACTCTAGAATGGTGCTACACAGGATAAATAAGATGGTTTTCTAAAAGCCATTTAAAATAATAGCAGTAACACATGTTTGTGGTAGCTACAGATTAGAAAAATGGAAAAGTGTTAAATAAGATTTTAAGGAGCACGCTTCAGGCACTTGGAAATTAAACTGTGGAGTCAGGAACATTCATTGTTGGGAAGCAAATAGAAGCTGTTAGCTGCAGACACAAAGGGAAATTAGGTCTCTATTCATATGAGCTTCTTAGTTTGCGAGGCTGTGGATGTTTGAAAATAAGGGAGAAGCATGTGTAAACCAGTGACTGCGCCTCTTGCTCCAGGGGTGAGCCTGGATTAGCAAGGCTTGACAAATGCCCGTGTTCATCACATCATCACCGGGGCTACAGCTGAGAAAAATGTCCCAGTCTGTTAAGGAGTCAGGCCAGTTCACCTGAATTGCCCTTGGGCCACAGAGCTCTCAGGTCTGGGGTGGCATTCACACCCTGGGCACTCATGTACAATGAGGTGCCTACAGGAATCACCTTCTCACCCTGGTCTTGCTTCCCATCTCTAGGAGACTCTAGCCAAGGTGCTCCTCTCCTGACATCAATTTTTCCATCTGTAAAGTGGGAGGGACAAAGGGTTTATCTCCTGGTGCTCATCAGTTTGGGGTTATCTTAGTGTCTATTGACTCCCTGCTCAGAGAGAGGTATCCACTCAAAGTGGCTGCCTCCAGGGAAGTCACTTTCACTTTGCAGAGAAGTCAGTTCCACTTTCAGAGCGCTATCCTTGAGAAGAGAACTTCTTTCTTGCCCTTCCGCAATCCCCAGAGGAAGAACACCAAGTCCAGAAACTCCAACTGCTTAAAGGAGGCAGAAAGTGGGAGACAGGAGAGGAGAGTAAAAGAGACAAGGAGGAGGAGAAGAATCTTTGCTTCTGGAAGCAAAGTATTTTGAGGAAATTGATTAATCTTTAAGGTAAATTTTACCTTAAGTTAGAACAGTTACATACGATAAGTATCTGTATATAATATGTAGTATATATTTCTATGCATTCTTGTTGTTGTGTACCATCAGGTCAGAACCAACCCACAGCTGATCCTTCAGCAGGTTCTCATAGGTGGTAAATCACATGGGAGGAGACAGACTACCCATCTTCCCACATTGGAAGTGGATTTGAACTTCATGTCTTTGGGATTGCAGTGCAGCTTCTGACCACTAGGCCACCAGAGCTCTCTACATTTCTAGGCAGTAAAGACATTAAAGAAACAATTGCAGATACATTACAGTATCTTTGACATAATGTTGTTGTTAAGCGCCTTTCAGTTCTACTTTGGGTCATAGCAATGCTATGAACAGACCTTATCCTTATCCTGTCCCGTCTTCACTATCTCCTTCATGGTCCAGTCTATTGTCACAGTCACTGTTGAACCTCTACTTTTCCCAATATGACATCTTTTTCCAAAGACCTGCATCTCCTGACAACATATCCAAACTATGTGAGGCCCTGGTTACCCTTCCTCTGAGATGAATGTTTGTTCTTTTGCCAGTCCATGAAATACTCAATCCTCTTCACCAACACAATTAAAGGGATCAATTCTTCTTTGGTCTTCCTTAACCAATATCTAATTTTCAGTTACATAGGAAGCAAGTGAAATTCGCTAAGGTGTAACTTTGTTGTTCAGTACCATAGAGTCAGAACTGACCCATAGATGACCCTCTAAAGGGTTTTCAGAGGCAGATAATCTCAAGGGAGGAGATTGCCCATCTTTCTGTCCTGGAGCAGCTTGTTAAAAAAAAGCAAAGCAAAACAAAAAACACCAAAAACAAAACTTCATGCCTTTAAGATTGTAGCACAGCTTCTTACTACTAGGTCACCATAGTTCCTTAAAGTTTCTTTCTCTTTAGCACTTTAAAGAGGTCCTTGACATCAGAGTTCCCCATTAATTTTCAATATCTTTTGCTTTCTTGACTGCTGCTACCATAGGTGTTGAATATGAATCTAAGTAAAACGAAATCCTTGACAAGTGCAATCTTTTATCCATCTATCATGATGTTGTCTATCGGTCCAGTTGTAAGGATTTGTATATTCTTGCTATAGAGGTATAATGAAGGCTAGTGTTTGTATAGTACTTGATCTTCAGTGAATGCGTCAGATCACCTTCACTTCTGTAAACAAGGTTGTATTGTGTGCATAACATAGGTTAATTTAATTCCTCCAGTCCCAGATGGACATTTTTTCAAACAGTCCAGCTTTCCATTCATTTGCTCAGTATTTAGACTGAATAGACATGGAGAAAGGACACGACCTGGACACATACTTTTCCTGATTTCAAACTATTCAGTATTTCCTTGTTTTGTTCAGACAACTGCTTCTTGGTCTAAATATATTGTTGTTGTCATTGTTATATGCTGTTGAGTCACAAGCAACCAATAGCTAACCCTGGAGAGGATTTTCAGAGGCAGTAAAATCATATGTGGAGATAGTTCGTCCTTCTCCCGCAAAGCAACTTGGTGGATTCGAACTGCATGCCTCTGGAGTGGCAGCACAGCTCCTTACCGCTAGGCCGGAGGTCTAGATTCAGGTTTTGCATAAGCTGAGATTCTCATACTTTTCGATGTTATCCATAATTCAGTATGACCCAGGTAGTCAAATGCCTTTGCAAGTCAATAAAACACAGGAAACCTCTTTATGGTATTCTTTGTTTTCAACCAAGATCCATCTGACATCAGCAATGACTTCTCTCATTCTATGGCCTCTTTTGTATCTAGTTTGAATAGGCAGTTCCCTGTCAATATGGTTATGCTAGCTATTTCATAAGCAATCTTCGGCAAGAATTTTCTTGTGATATTAATGATACTGCTCGATAATTTCTACATTCTTTGGATCACCTTTTTTTGGAATGGGAATAAATATGGATCACTTCCAACTGGTTGGTCAAATTTCTTGACATTGATTAGTGAGTACTTTGAGAGATGCATTTGTTTGCTGTGACATTTTTTGTCAATGTCTTCAGAGCAGCTTAGATTTCTTCCTTCAATACCATTGGTTCTTGATCATATGCTACCTTCCTGAAACAGTTCAGACTAGACTGATTCTTTTTGGAACAGTGACTCTGTATTTCTTTCATGGTCGTCTGATGCTTCCTGCATAATGCAATATTTTACTTATGTTGTCATTGTTAGGTGCCATCGAGTCAAGAACAACGCACAGTGACCCTATGAACAACCAATTTGAGCTCTGACCTGCCCCATGTCATCCATACAACCTCTGACACACTATCTCAGTTACAGTGTCAACCCACCCAGTTGCCACCCACCCATGTTCCCAATCACGATGTCCCCGTCCAAGAAAGAACCCCTCATAGCAACATGCCCAAAGTATCTGAGACAAAGCTTCATCATCTTTGCCTTCATCTGGCCACATCTTCTCCAAGACATATCTGCTTGTTCATTTGGCAATTCATGGGGTACTCAGCACTCTTCTCCAACAACACATTCCAAAGGCATCAGTTCTTCATCTGTCATCCTTAGTCATGGTACAGCTCTCAGATACATAGCAATTGACTAAAAAGACCATGTCTTGAAGAAGGGGCACCATAGTCCTCAGCCTGACATCATTGCTCCTCCATAATTTGGAAAGGTCCCTGATGACAGACTTTCCAAGTGCAATACATCTCCTGATCTCCTGGCTGCTGATATCAAGTGTCTTGATTGTGGATCCAAGTAAGATGAAGTCATTGACAATCTCAATCCTTTCTCTATCCATCATGATGTTGACTCTTGTGGTTCAGTGGTAAGGATTTTTGCTTCTTGATGATCAGATGCAAATCATATTGAAGGCTACAGCATTTAACTTTCTGCAGCAAGTACTTCAAGTCCTCCTCGCTTTCAGTGAGTGAGGTTGTGTCATCTGCATAATGAACGTCATTGATGAGTCTTCCTCCAATCTTAATGCTATGTTTTCCATCATAGAGCCCAGCCTCTCAGATAATTTGCTCAGTATACAGATTAAACAGGCATGGAGAAAGGATACAACCCTGATGGAATCCTTCAATAGTATAATCTGAAGGTTTTTTTCTTCAGTTCTTTCATCTTGAGAAACGCCAAGAACCTGCTTTGCCAAGATATTCCACTTGTGCTCTTTATCATGAAAACAAGGACTCGATAATCTTGTTCTTAAAGTCCCTGGAGGTCAAGTACATGCTTATTGTTACAATTATAACTATTGCAAGAGTGATAATGACAAACCAGAATACTTAGCTAGGCTGACAAGATGTCAGCACTGCTTTAAGTGTTTGGTGTACATTGACCATGTTCATCCTCATAACCATCCTATGCAGTAACTACTACAGTAGCTCTCATTTTACAGATGTGGAAATTAAGGCTCAAGGAGAGCTTCAATTGCTTTAAGGTCCCACAGTCAGTAAGTGGCAGAGTTTGACTTGAACTTGGTCAAGTCTGCAGGCTCAGCCACTATGCACCTTCCTCACCACTGTGGGATGGCCCCAGCAGCCCCCTGCTACACAGGAGCTAGTTGATGCCCACCACTTCCTTCCCTTTTCACCCACATCCAAGACCCAGGCCTCGTCCCCTCCTTTCAGAGGCATCCAGAGCCCCTCTGCATTGATGCATACCTGTCAGGGAGCAGGTGAACCACCTACTCTTTGAAGAAGGGTCCCTGGAACTGGGCTGCAGCCGGGGTCTTGACCTTCTTACACTGCCTGGTGATGTACGGAGCTGCTGGTGGCGGACAGCGAGATGCCAGGCGGAGACTGTAGCTGCAAATGGAGAGGAAGGAGATATGTCAACCAGCACGGACTGCCACTGCCCAGGCCCAGGCAGGGGTGCACTTCTGACCACGTGGAGCCCAGGTGATGCGCTTTCGCTAATGGCAGTCAAGCTTTAACAACCAACATGTGTTTCTCCATGTTTAGCCCACCATGTTCTCCCAACTCCCTGCCCCCAGGTGGTCACAGATACACCTGTGAGGAGAAAGCATCCATCACCCTGGCCTTCAAGATCACAATGAACACAGTCAGCCTCCTGGTGAGCCTCTGGTCATGCTGGGCATGAATCTGATAAAGATAACAGTTTGCTCATTCTTCAGTTCCATTTTCCACCTGCTTCCCAGGTACCTAATTGTGCTGTATCTCTGGTCTTGTTTGGATTGCCAATCATCAGTAACATGAGTAAAGGACTGTCAGCCCCCCCATTGCCACTGAGTCAATTCTGATTCACAGTAACACTGTAGGCCAGAGTGGAACTTCCCTATAGAATTACAAGGGCAATAAGTCTTTGTGAAAGTAGACCACCTCATCTTTATCGCAAGGAGCAGGTGGTGAGTCTAAACCACCAAACTTGTGGTTACCAGTTGCATTCTTTAACCACTATACCACTAGAGCTCCTGGACCACATCAGCAGAAGAATGAATGAACTAAATGTGGTCCATCCATACAATGGAATATTAGTCAGTCATAAAAAAGAAATTAAGTCCTGGTGTATGCTACCCAGATGGACAAATCTTGAAAACATTCTGAGTGAAGATTTCACAAGGCAGCACGGCAAGACAAAGTAAAGTATTATAATGAAATGTGCAAAGAGCTGGAGTCAGAAAATCAAAGAGGCTGAACTCACTCAGCATTTCTTAAGCTCAAAAAACTGAAGAAGAAATTCAAGCCTCCAGTTGCAATACTTAAGGATGCTTTGGGCAGAATATTAAATGATCCTGCAAGTATTAAAGGAAGATGGAAAGAGTATACACAGTCATTATACCAAAAGGAATTGGCAGACATACAAAAGAGTTTAATGAATTTAATGAAACAACATATGAGCAAGAGCTTGTGATGATGAAGGAAGAAGTTCAACTGCTTTAAAAGAATTGGCTAAAAATCAGGCACCAGGAATTGATAGTACACCAATTGACATATTTCAACAAAAATATGCTCTCCTAGAAGTGTTCACTAAGTTGTGCCAAGAAATCTGGAGAACAACTACTTGGCCAACTGACTGGAAGAGATCTATATTTGTTCCCATTCCAAAGAATGGTGATCCTGCAGAGTGTGGAAATTCTCGAACAATATCATTAATATCACATGCAAGCAAGATTCTGCTGAAGATTATCCAAAACCGACCGAACAGCACATCAACAGAGAACCACCAGAAGTGCAGGTTGGGTTTAGATGGAGTCGTGGTACTAGGGATATTGTAGCAAATGGTAGATGGATCTTGGCTGAAAGCAGGGAGTACCAGAAGAATGTCTATCTGTGTTTCATTGATTATGCAAAGGTGTTTGACTGTGTGGATCACAACAAACTATGGCTGACTCTGAGAAGAATGGAAATCCCAGAACACTTGATCATGCTAATGTGAAATCTATACTTGGAACAGGAGGCAGTCATCAGAACAGAGCAAGGAAACACTACATGGTTCAAAATTGAGAAGGGTGTATGCCAGGGATGCATCCTATCTTTATTGGAACAGATTATCCGGGAGGCTGGGCTCTTTGAGGAGAAATGTGGCATCAGGATTTGAGGAAGACTCATCAACAATCTGTGTTGTACAGATGACACAACCCTGCTAGCTGAAACTGAGCAGGACCTGAAGCGCTTGCTGTGGAAGGTCAGGAACGGCAGTCTTCAGTAAGGATTGAGGCTCAATATCAAGAAAACAGAGATTCTCTCCACTGGGCCGGTTGGCAGCATCATGACTGATGGTGAAGAGATTGAGATTGTTCACAGTTTTGGTTTGCTTGGCTCCCAAGTTAACACTCTTGGCGCCAGCAGCCAGGAGATTAAAAGACGTATTATGATGGGAGAGTCTGTGGTTAGAGACCTCTCTAAAGTGCTGAAGAGCAATGATGTCAGAATGGAGACTAAGGTGCATCTGATACATGCCATGATCTTCACAATCACTTGTTATGTATCAGAGAGGTGGACAATGACTACGGATGACAGAAGGAGAATTGATACCTTTGAGCTGTGGTGCTGGAGAAGAGCATTGCCTGCTAAGAAAATGAACAGGTTTGACCTGGAGAGGGTAAAACCAGGCTGCTTCTTGGAGTCAAGGGTTCTGAAGCTTCGTCTGACATACTTTGGACATGTTTCAAGGAGGGACCAGTCCTTGGAGAGGGACGTCATGCTAGGGAGGGTACAGGGACAGCTCAGGAGAGGAAGCCCCTAGATGAGATGGATTAATTCAGTGACTCGGGTAATGGGGGTGGGTGTGTTGGATACAGTGAGATTGGAACAGGATAGAGTAGGGTTTAGGGCTGTTGTACATAGGGTCGCTATGAGTCACAGGAGACTCAACAGCACATAATAACAACAACAACAACTTATATTGAGAAGCTCTGGTGGATTTTTGTTTGTTATGTACCATAGAGTTGATTCTTCCTCTGTTCATTGTCCAGCTCTCAGATGTGATCACCTGGATCAGGTGCACCTTAGTCTCTAGACTGGCATTCTTTCTCTTTAGCAAGAGATTTTCCCAGTGCCACTGGTCTTTTGATTTCCTGACTGCTGGTGCCAAGAGTGTTGATTGCTAATCTAAGCAAGATAAATCTTTTTGCCATCTATCATAATACTACCCAATTGGCCTATTGGTGAGGATCTTTGTTTTCTTGATGTTGAAATGCAATACATATGGAAGGCTGTAGTCCTTTTGCAGCAAAAGCTCCAAGTCCTCTTCAGTTTCAGTGAACAAGGTGTGTCATCTATATAACACAACTTGTTGATGAGTCTTCCTCTAATCCTGATGCCACATTCTTCTTCATAAAGCCCCACCTCCCAAGTGATCTTTTCAGCATATAGATTGAAAAGGTATGAAGAAAGGATACATCCCTGATGCACTCCTTTCTTGATTTTCAATTATGAAGTGTTCCCTAGCTCTGTTCGGACAACATCCTGGTCTAGCTATAGGTTTCATATGAGTACAATCAAGTGTTCTGGGATTCCCTCAATTTGCTGTGATCCACACAGTCAAATGCCTTTGCATAGTCAATAAAACACAAATAGACATCCTGGTGGCTTAGCGGTAAGGCACTGTGGTGCCAATACAAAGATACACAGTTTGAATCTACCAGCTCTTCTGTGAAAGAAAGATGGGCAATCTCCTCCAGTTAAATTTACTGCCTCTGAAAACCTGCTGGAGGGTCAGAGATGGGACAGTTATGAGTCAGTTCTGAGTCGACGGTAGACAACAACAACAACAGTGGTTACCAGGAGTGGAAGGGAAAGGGCAAAGGAGAGTCTCAAACTAGAGGGGACAGGATTTTTTGTAATGGCAGCGGAATAATCTGGAAACAGATATGTTGCTGGTTATACTACATGACGCATGTGACAAGAATCACTAAATTGTACGTGGGGAAAAATGTTGATTTGGTGAATGTTTCATGATGCATATATACTTCACCACAATAAGATAATCTTTAAAACTGCTAAGTGAGAAATAAAAGAAGTGGCATCTGGAGAACCCTATTGTCCCATGTCCCTTGCAGTTAGGAAGCAGGGAAGTCCAGGTCCCCTCCATAGACTTCACTCCACCCTCAAGTTCATCCTGAGCCAAGCACTTCCAGGTCAGTGTCTCCAAGGAATGGCATGATATGATCTCCCACAAAGATATGAACCCTGGATATGGTTTGAACCCATTTGCTCGTAAACCTGGACGTGTTTTTCAGAATAGTTTTTAAAATAATTTCTAAATTCTTTTAAAAATCTTTTATTTTGTTGTTGTTGAAAACATGGTGATAAACATATATGAACAATTCAACAATTTCTACACATACAATTCCATGACATTGATTGTTGTTGTTAGGTGTCTTTGAGTCACCTGTGACTCATAGTGACTCTATATCCATTAGCTCTGAACCCTGCCCTATCATGAGCCAATCTTGTTGTCTCTGACAAACCTAATCCCATTTCTCCAGTCACTGAGTTAATTTATCTCATCTCGGGTCTTCCTTTCCTGTGCTGTCCCTCCACCCTTCCAAACATATCTCTCTCCAAGGACTGGTCGGTCCCTCCTGACCATGTGCCCAAAGTATGTGAGACAGAGCTTCAAAATCCTTGCCTCTGTGGAGCAGCCCAATTTGACTTTTTCCACAACAGACGTGTTTTTTCTCCTGGCAGTCCACAGTATGTTTAACACTCTTCTCTAACATCACAACTTAAGGGTCTCCATTTTTCTCCTCTCATCATTAGTTACTGTCTACCTCTCAGATGGATAGTAAGCAATTGCAGAGACCATGGCCTGAATCAGGTGAACCTTAGACTCCCTACTGACATCATCACTGTTCAATACTCTAAAGAGGTCCCTGCCAGCAGACTTCCCCAATACAATTTGTCTTTTGATTTCCTGACTGCTGGTGCCAGGAGTGTTGATTGTGGAACCAAGCAAGCTGAAGTTATTTACAATCTCAATCTCTTCTCTGTTAGACAAGGAAAAAAGACAGAGGAGGAAGAAAAGACCAAGAGAGATGTCAGGAGAGACTCTGAATATTGCACTAGAACACTGAGAAGCCGAAGTAAACAGAAGAAATCAAGAAGTTAAGGAGCTGAACAGAAGATGTCAAAGGGCAGCTCGGGAGGACAAAGAGAAATATTATAATGAAATGTGTTAAGGAGCTGGAGTCGGAAAATCAGAGGGGATGAACTTCCTCAGCATGTCTTAAGCTGAAGAAACTGAAGAACAAGTTTAAGCCTCAAGTTGCAATACTTAATGACGCTAAAGGCAGAATGTTGAATGACCCAGGAAACATCAAAGGCAGATGGAAGGAGTACAT